ACTCTGGTCTGTTTCCGTGCTGACACGTGCATAAATAACTAGCAAAGCAACTCACCGGTCCTGGGCATTAACATGGTAGAGACTGTCTGTCGAAGTATTAAGGGTAGCAGTAGTCTACGCCCAGTGGTCACTGATACTGCTAGTACATTTACGTGTACCAGACGTATGTCAAACTGCTTTCGAAAGCCGGCAACAGTCGGTATTGAAGTAAGGAAAATCCTATCATGTATTTTGATTCTTTCCTGTCTTAAACTCATCAGAGGGAGACAGAAATATGTACGAAAATTTCATATTTTAGCACTCTTTTAACTTACGGAGAATTTTGTGAACTCGGATAAAAGTTTTTCCTCAGAATGGCAGCTGCTTCTAATATCAGTAATCAACAGGCGCCATGTTCACGTTACGATCCAATATGTGCTTAGTTCTTCGTGCCTGTTGAAAATCTCCCGCGTGTTCCTTAGTCAAATCAAACAACTCCTAAGCCAGAGCAAGGTGGCCATTTGGGTGTAAAGTTGCATGGTACACATTTATTGTATCATAAGCTGCAGTCCAAATCGTTGACGGTAATGAATAAAAACATTTCCGGTCTAAGCGATAGACGCCATATGGAGCTGCCAATTGCTTGCAAGTCTAATTCTCGTTGCATTTGCGTCGCGGTGTCTACGCACAGAAGGGTTATCTTAATTGTTAGCATAGTTCAAGTTGTCTATGAAAGATAACATTCAAAAAGTTACGTAAGCTATTAAAAAAGAAATGATCAAAGACACTAGCAGGAAGTTGGTTCCAAAATTACTTCAAATAAGTGTGAGGTCGAAGATGGGACACTACGAGCGTGGCCGGTCGAAATCATAAGATTGCGTCATACTACATTAATTAAAGAAGAAATATCCACAAAGCAATATTTTTCAACGTCGCTCATAACCCTTTCCTACTATTTGGTACTTTCTTCAGCAACCAACAACAGCAAACAGGTAATATTTCGTTTGCAAAAGGTCCAGAATGGGAAAATAATGGTTGCTAGTAGATGTGCCAGTCGGGATTAATGAAACTAGCAAATTATAAAGGGTTTGCCTTTCAGCAAAAATCTAAAGAGTTAATACATATTGATCCACATTAGCTACTAAACTGTAAAATCTACCCTCAACGAGAAGAATAATTTTAATTGTGCATCAAGCAAATAACGCACTGTAAATTTTTATGACGAATGTTCTTTCCAAGTATTACTTAGCAATTGGGTGTAACGTGGCAACGAAAGTATACAAAAGTGAAGATATATTAGACGGCCTGAATATTGCATGCAATATGCAAACCATTTTTTTCAAAGGACGTGGTTTTTAAAGCAGTTTACAGCAATACGAAATCCAAAGAGCTTCGTGACGCATCTTATGTCCTGCGCAAGAACGCAATCTCACTTGATGTGGCCGAAAATGATGACGGGAGTTGGCTTTAACTCAAATGATGAGAGCAACCATTTCTACAGTCTCCAAATTCGATTGTTTAAGAAACCTATTCTGTATGTTTTGCGTGATATAGGTATATACGACAAAAGCGGTTTATTCACCAGCTTCGCGATTTTGTTCATCTAAGCTTTCGAACTCTTACTGGAGCCGATCGTCAGAGATAAAAGTGGCAACAAAAGAAGCAACAATTGTAGAGGGTAGGGACAGAAATGGACCCTGTTGCCTCTGACATGTCCTCTGTGTATGGGAACGCAGGCCCTTTGAATATGAATACGTAGGTATCTGCTTATGAACGCCTTCGTATAGTCGTTCCACATAAATAGATGCCGCAGATATGAAACCTCATGTGTTGTTCTTTCGGATTGCTGCAGTCAGTCTGGACTCGCTGGAAAAGGGGTTCGTACAAAGCTTCTTTTATGACCCACTGGATTAGTCGTGTGTTATAACCTTAAGGGTGCCTGCGTCAACACTGGCTATATC